CTTTACACGCTATATATGCTTTCGTTTGTATTCTTGAAATCAACTGCTCATTCCTCCTCTCATTTGCAGAAAGTCTTTCCTGAGGCTGCTGCAGATGCATCTGGAATGAAACTAGATGATGGTTCTGGGTCTATATCAGATGATTCTGAGGATGATGATTATGACCCTGATAAGCACAATAAGGCTGAGGAGGCTGATGGAGATGAATTAAGTCCTGATGAATCCAATTACTTTTCTGCACCGGATGATTCGGCTCCTTCTCTTAATAACGAAAAGTATTTGGGGCTTCCTTCTGATGATTCAGAAGATGATGATTTTGACCCATCCGCTCCAAATCAAGACGAAGACGAGCAGGTGAAGCAGAATAGTTCTAGCTCTGATTTTACATCTGATTCTGAGGACCTCGGTGCCTTACTTGAGGATGAAGGGGGGCATGGTGAAGATCGTGGCCAAGTTTCATCCCCGCCAGTCATCGGACAAACCACCACGGGTTGTAAAGAGGAAAATTCTGGAGTGGGCAGGAAGAAGAGGCAAACACTAAAAGATGAGCTTTTATACCTTACAGAGACCAGTGTTGAACCGATATCTAGCAAACGACGTGTGGAGAGGTTGGACTACAAAAAGCTGAATGATGTGAGTTATCTCATGCTGTTATGTCTACACTATCCTCTTCCCATTAATTTATTTGCACCAGATATTGCTTTTGTATTCTAGGTTTCTTTTCAAGTTTGCTTGCTAGCATCTCTTCACCAATCTGTTACCGAATTTTTTATAGTATTCATGAATTTTAGTCGAACAACTTCATTATTTCTTTTTGAGTTTCTGTTTAGAGTTGCCTACTTGTGTATATTATGATAAGCTTAGTGGAATTCTTAAGATACGTTATTTCAAAGTAAAAGTTGGCAGTTGGCTCAGATGGAATTGAAACTAGCATCGCATGCCTTTCCTTTACATAAAACCATATTGGAAAGGAGAGGTTGCTATTGTATGGCTGCTTGAAGCTGGACATTCTGGTTATATTCTAAAATGCTTGATTAGCATCAAGCAGATCACATTGAACATTAGGTCACTGAAGAAACTATCAATGATAATATTGCTATTCTTCTTATATCAGTAGTGATATTTTGGCCATTTATATGATTCTTTGATATTGAAAATCCTGTTTATTTCTTTCCTGAGTCGCTTTCTTTTATTTTCGGATACCTCTCATTATAAACTATGATTTATCTGTCAAAGGAAACATTTGGAAATTCTTCTTCCGACTCAAGCGATGAAGATTTTGATGATGATACCAGTGATGACGATACAACCAGTCCTAAGAGGAGGAGAACTACTTGTGCAACAACTCGAGTGAAGCGTGAAACTCCAGATGTTGAGACTTCTATTAACAGTAATGGTGAAAGCCAGAAAGAAAGAAAACAATTACCGACACGATCGAGGAGAAAGGGTGCTGATGGGGGCCCACGTAAGTCATCTACCAAAGTTGGTCCTACTAGTTCGGGTTCTAAAAGATCAGCTCCTAAAAGGCTTGGGGAAGCTACCACTCAGGTAATTATTGCATAGATGAGTGTGTTCAATTTCTGTAGTGGCAGTGCAGTTTGTTATTATAGGCATGTGCATTGATTTATATAATATTGGTGTAAGTACAGCATTATTCTCGAGTTCTAGTCTAACTACCAAAATCCCAGCNATAGTATTACAGATGCCCTTGATATTTTTCTATTATGCAAAATTGCACACTTGATACATGGGATATTTGATAGTGTGAATGTAAAGGAAATCTTTGCAATAGCTTAAGGGCTTATTTGCAGCTATGAAGGATTAGTTTTTCTTTTCTCTTTTCCCTATCTTTTTGATAATTGCTTCATAGGGTAGTTTTGTAAAACTCTCATTTCTGCACCCATATATTTCATTTGCCACATGAGTCGAAACAAGTGATCTACCAACCAGCGCATCACAAGTTGATTTAATACCTTTACATATATAGTATAATGCGTATATCGGACGCTAGAGCCAGTTACACTGTAGGTTACTCTAAAAGAATTGTGTATTAGCCATTTGGTCCTTTGTCTCAGTTTTCACATTATTGCTGTGTGTTTATGCAGAGGCTATATGCATCCTTCAACGAGAATCAATATCCTGATAAAGATGTAAGAGAAAATTTGGCACAAGAGCTGGGGATCACTGTTTTGCAGGTCTACCCAGATACATTTTGCCTGTGTAGTCACTCTAAACTAAGGGGGTGCTAGGATATAAAATGTTTTTTGTTTGTATTTTTTGGTTTGGTCTGGTATGGTAGTGGTATGGTTAGTTGCTAGTGGATTTTGAATTTATATTAAAATATTATTGAAAATAATATAATAAAAGTTGATTTTGATGTAAAAGTAGGAGATGGTGTGAAGTGATGGTTAGGTAAAATTATGTGAGTGGATGAATAGTGAATTAAAGTTGATGTAATATGTAAGAATGGTTGAGTGGTATTATTTAATTATATTGATAATATTGAGGATAGTGAGATTGAGTTAAAAAGAAAACAATTGGTTAAAGATGATAAATTATTTTTTTTTTAAAAAAAAATATTATTTTTTTTTTTTAAAAAAAATTGTATCCAAGCAAGCAATTTGCATCAACTTATTGTTTATGTGTCTTTCTCGCAGGTCAGTAAATGGTTTGCCAATGCCCGTTGGAGCTTTAATCATAAACCACGAACGGAACCAAATTCGACCAAGAAGCCACCCGAGCCTTCACAGGCAATAGAAGAAAATTCGGCAAGTAAAACAAATGAAGAAATTTCTGGCAAACAGGAAACAGAAAATGGTAATGGTAAGTTAGATCCAGCACAAGCCAAATGAATCAGTAGCATAAAATGTTCTTGGTCGATATTCATCCTCCTCAACCTCATATTGTACCCGAGACAGACCTGCAGCAGCAAATGAGTCCCTCGGTTCGTATAATTCAAAACTTGGTTTTGGCTTCTATGGAGTATGATATAACAGGTTATGCCGGTAAAGTTTTCACTTCACCTGCTCATACAGTTGCCTCAAATCCTGTAACTTATTGGGAGCTCCATGAAGATATTACCAAAACGGTGAGATGAGTTGTGCTTACTTTGGGCCCTTCCTGGGAAAGACCAACTAAAAGAAAAAAAAAGGAATATAGTGTATATGGGCGCTCGGGTCTAGTGTGTTATGAATTTGGAAACATTCTTGACTTTGTTTATGTGCCATTTCTTTACTACTAAATAACGCGTGTTATCCTATTCTGGGTTGCTTTTGTTAATGTTTTACAATCCTGGTTGAATTTTGACTGCCTACCGGCAAAGTTTTTGGCGTTTGGCATCAAAATCGGACCTCCCATAGTTTTCTCTGTACAATATGGTAAGTTTATCAAAATAAAACAGTAGTCGGATCAATACCAATCTTTTTTTTTTTTCTTTAATTTGAAATTTCCTGCCGATCGACCGTGTCACAATTGAACACTACTAGAACCTTTTAAGGTACTAATCAAGTAGAGGTGATGATATAAGATTTGACACATCACACATACAACTGTACAAGTGATGACATAAAACTTAACAAAATACAAGTGATACAACCTTAACTCTGCACACTGCTACAACATTTTAAGTACTATTCAAATTAGAGATGGTGATATAAAATTTGAACACATACAAGTGATGGCATAAAACTTGACAAAATACAAGTGTTACAACCTTTGAGGAGTCCAAATGATGACATAAAACCAGGCAAAATAAAAGTGTTAAAACCAATTGAAACCTAGATCGGTCATCGAATCGATCAAGTTACTGGTTCATTGGTATAATTAGAATTGGTATTTAATTTATTAATAGTTTTAAATATACATAATATCTTATATAATAAAATTCATATAAAAAACTTTGTCAATTAAATTTTAAGTTACTTTAAAACATTCAAATACTTAAATTAATTAATAATAACTTATATATAATCATTATATTTAAATATATATATTTTAATTTATCTTATTTTAAATAAATTAAGATTTAATTTTTTAAAAAAATATGGACCGATTCAACCGGTCCAACCGATCTAGTTTTTTACCGGTTTTGACTTGTTCAACCGGTTGTCGACTAGTTCGCTGGCAACTAGTTTATTCTAGCGAATTGGACTGGTCAACTGACCGATTCTCTGTCCAATTGGTCGAACCGGCCAATTCAATCCGATTTTTTAAACCATGATCACAATCTTAACATCGAGGATCTTCCTTGACGCATTTCTCTTAGCATCTTGGATAAATAGGCCCCACTGACAACAAGTATTATAATTTTATATATTACATCAACTATATAATCAATAATTGTTGTACTTGCACATTATTCATGTCAATCATTAGAGTACCATTATTCTCTCACATACCATACCATTCCATAAACTATAGTTGGTAGTTTTTAACTTTCAGCTAGTTTTTAAGCTATATTTATCAAACAAGGTTGTGTTAGAAAGAGGGGCGATTGAATATAGTTTCTACAGTAACAAAATCAATCAAAATTTAAATTTAACTCAATTGTAATCTAATTTCATTATCTTCAATATTATCAATATAATTAAATAATATCAACCAATTATTCTTACACATCACATCAATTTTAATTCACTATTAATTCACTCACATAATTTTAACTAAGCCATCACTTTCAATCATTTTTTTCTACTTTACATCAAATCAACTTTAATTATTTTATTTAAATATTATTTTAATATATTAACTAACAACTAATCATACTATTTTTTTTTTAAAAAAAATTAACTATAGTTAAAAAATAAACTAAATAAAAATTTATTGAATCCATAAACAACCACCTTTTTATAGTTTTTAGTTTTTAGAGTATGAAAATGCATTTTTTTAGTTATAATAGTGTTTGACCAATCAACTTATAAATTGAACAGACTTTTACTTTGACAAATTGTGTCACACATCATCTAACTTCATAACTTTTCCAACTTGATAATTTTTATGCTCTTAACTGTTTTCGCCAAGCAGAAATGGTAACATATAAAATAAAATAAAAATGCAGTGATACCAACAAGCGCGGTAAAATAAGCTTTTTGAACAGTGAAAATGGCGGCACCATTATCTCTCTCCCTCCTCTCCACAGCCCTAAAACCCAAATCATACACAAATAAAGCTGAAACCCTCGTCCTCCTCATCGCCTCTCTTCACTCTCCGCCCTTAACCATTTCGAACACAATTCAGCTTGAAATGTGCACGACAAGCAGTTTCAGTGCCCGTCAACGGTAAAACCCTAAACCCAAACATTGGCGAGCTCTGTGAAAGGGAGGGCCTTCAATGGCTGACCGAGAAAACCGAATAATTCCAATGGAAAATGAAGCACCTCGCAAACGGCCCAATCAATTCGCAGAAGGTAAATTGAAGGCGAATAAGAAGCGCGTCGTGCTGGGTGAGCTCACCAACACCTTATCCAGTGTGTCCGGGCCGAGCCCGAATTCGGATATGGGGAAAACACGGGTTTTTGGCCCGGAATCCGTTTTCAAGAGGACGGGAAATGGAAACAATTTGGGCTTGGAGGTTATGACGGAATGTGACGAGCCGCAAAAAGTTGGGTATGCTGCTTCGATATTTCAACATTTGCACTCCTTGGAGGTATCTTATTTTGCCTTTGTCTGTTTATTTGCCTACTACTTCTTAATTACATGTTTTGTCACTGTATCTATGTAACCTGTGTATAAATAAGCATATTATGTATGTGGATGGATATATTTTTCTGGTGATTTTGCTGTCATTTATTAGTGTAAGAGATATATAAAGTTTTTTTATGATAATAGGTGCTGAATTTGACTGGTAATTTGTCATGAAATTTAACATATTTGTGTTGGTATTCCTGTATTTTTTATTTTATTGAGAACATGTTTGTTTATGGAAAATTTCAAAAAAAAAATTCCAACATTTTAACTCAACTATTTTTTTTAACTCAACTTTAACTAACCCCACTATCATCAAAATTATCAATATAATTAAATAATATCAATCAATCATTCATACACAACACATCAACCTTAATTAACTATTCATCCACTCACATTACTTTAACTAACCATCACTTCAAATCTCTCTCTCCTACTTTTACATCAAATCAATTTTAATTATTTATTATAAATATTATTTTAATATATCCACTAACAACTAATCATATCACATTTTTCGAAATTAACCAACCAAACCAAAAAAATCCAAGTAAAACAAAAATTTTTTATAAACAAACATGCTCTGAGTTTCAATAAAGTATGAGCACATGTGGGAAGAGTATTGATGTTAGCCTGTGCTTTTGTTGTTTGCCCTACTTTATAGGGGAAAAGCTTGAATTTATGAAGCTTAAATTGCCACCTTTGGTTTTCGTTCGCAAACAATATTAACAATGGAATCTCACTTTATCCTGAGATTTGATATGCCGGTAAGCTTCGGTTTAATGCTTGATATGCTAGCTAATTTAGTTCGGTAGCCATGGTTTAATTTCCCTTCTGGACCTACTTTGGGTGAATTTTTAGTCTTAGAATTATGATTATCTATCGCATTCAAATAATGTATGTTATACCACATACCTTCCTCTATCTTAATACTCCCAAAAAAAAAAAAAAAAAACTCGAGTCAGTCATGTCCACTTTTATGCATTACATTTCTGTTAGGAAATCGAACCAAAAAATGTTCATCGTTTGTGGTATTAGGTTGAGGTGAAAAGGAGGCCTTTGTCTAATTACATGGAGAAAGTTCAGGAGGACATAAACCCAGCAATGAGGGCAAAACTAGTTGATTGGCTGGTAGAAGTTGCTGAGGAGTACAAACTTGTTTCAGACACGCTTTATCTCACTGTAAACTATATTGACCGATATCTATCGGCTCATAAGCTGCTTAGAAACAGGCTTCAGCTTCTTGGTGTATCTTGCATGCTTGTAGCATCGTAAGCCTGTGGTTTTCTTGATTCTTATTCACTTATGTAATCTGTTTAACAGTTCCTTATATTAGTTTATGAAAACTGCAGAAAATACGAAGAAATCAAACCCCCACACATAGAGGATTTTTGCTACATGACGGACAATATGTACACAAAAGATGAGGTTCGTCGTGTTTCTACGGTTTATTCAATGGCTTGTAGAAATTTATGCATGTGGTGGTAATACTTGTGTGTATATTTTTGTTGCTGTGTTATTTAGGTTATGGATATGGAGAGAGAAGTTCTCAAATTGTTAGATTTTGAGATGGGTAACCCAACAACTAAAACTTTTCTCAGGTTAGCATCCATTATGTGAATGCACATTCTCTCTCTCAGCTCAGCAGAGTGTAAAACGAAAATGTATAGTTTTTCGTATTCAATAATAAAACTTACTGGTTGCATGGATTTTGCAGATTTTTTACCAGGGTTGCCCAGGAAAAACTCGTGGTAGGCTGAGCTTTTGAACTCTTTATCTATATTGCAAATGATATCCTCGCTTGTAAAATTTCTGCATACAAGTCTCACTCACCAAGTGAATTTCTTTTCTTTCCTTTTCTCCCTCAACAGTTTTCAAATCTTCAGTTTGACTTTTTATGTAATTATCTTTCGGAGCTAAGTTTATTGGATTACGGTTGTGTTGGCCACATTCCATCACTGGTGGCTGCCTCGGTCATATTTCTTGCAAGACTGATTATGCAGCCAGAATCTCACCCATGGGTAAGCATAGCAATTTTGTTTTCATTTTTTTTTAATCTTTTTTTCTCAATGAGTAATTGAAAATTCTCCTATTTCAGCCATTAGCCAAATGATAAGACTGTCGAATGGAAAGGGCTAACAAAATGACCGGTTAATTATTATAGTTACAAAAACCACCATTGAGACTTGATCTAATTGCAATAGCACTCAGTTCAGTTATCTTTCAAAGTTACAAATACACACTTTACACCTGTTTGTGTTCTCCAAATTGCAGTCCTTGAGGGAGATAAATAGTAAAATAACCACAAACCTCAAAGATATTTGTAATGCATTCTCAAACGCCTATCAAGAGAGTTAATTTTCTGATTTGCTCCTTCATAAGGATATTTACATCGTAATTCTAATACATAGAGTATTAGTTGTTTACTGTTTATGTTTACAGTCCCATCAATTTAATTAATTTGGTTTTATAATTCCCAGTAACTGTTTTTGCAGACCCATGCATTACAAAAGCACACTGGTTACAAACCATGTGAATTGGAAGAGTGTGTCCTCAGACTTCACTCTCTCTTTCTCAAAAGTGAAACATATTCACAAGCTGTGAGACAGAAGTATTCGGATCACAAGGTATCTCTTCTAGGTGCCGTTTTGCATGTCTAGTTGCAAATTGCGTTTCACAATAGCGAAGCCATGTTTAATATTTTTCTTCTTACAAGTTACACTTTCTGATCTTGGCACAGTTCAAATATGTTGCTTCAATCAATTCGCCCTTTGAGATTCCTTCAAGCTTTTTTCAGTTTTCACAAGATTGAGGATATTCTTGTCAACACAAAATTTCAACTTATGAAGTGCCCTGAAGGTATATTTTAGGATGAATTGCAATGTGTATATACGCACTCTTGGTGAAATGGCTGTGGGATTAGCCTTTCTCGTTTCCTTTTGTGACGACGGTTTGTGTATTCTCGTGATCTTTTAATTTAATACCCACTATGTATGGTAAGTTTATTTCTTGCCACATCAGTTGGTGGACACATTAATCAGTAGCTACTGTGGGTAGAAAAGTGGAATTGTTGTGCATAATGTAATCTTTCAATTTCAGAGCACTTTTTTTTTTTGCTTCTTATCCGAAGAATTCATGCCTTTATATTATTTATCTACTCAGCAGCCTGAGAGAAGTTCTCAAATTGAATTATATATGTTGCTTGTTCAATTTCCTCAAGGATTGAATTATAAAGAGGAACGGTATAATTGGAATTTTTGGTTGAGAAAAACGTGCCATTATATTAAAAGGAAAAGAGAAAAACATAAACAATTTGTCAACTCTTTTTTTATAGTTATATGGATTCTTGATCATGATCAATTTACCATTTATATTTTTGAAAAATTTGCCTTGTTCAAAGAATGAAAGAAAAAAATATGTAGAAAAAAATATTATCTTTTAGATTGTGAATTAATATAGAATATAAATATAATAATCAAAATTGTATCACGATGTGATACAAATATAATCGTATTAATATAGACTGCTACTTTTATTATATGTTGAATGAGTGAATTTCTTTATTTGAAATACCTAATATTCCTTGATTTTTATTTCAAATCTCGATTGATTTTTATTTTTTAAATCTTGTTACGGTGATTATAGGGGGAAAAAAGTCAGATACAATAAATAGTAATTGAGATATAAAAAAATTATATTTCCACATTCTCTATGAGATAAATTCTGATCAAAGAAAACTTAATCAAATCAAAACCTTGCTTCCATTTCAAAGAGATACCTTGCAAAATTAGTGTGATTGAGTCGAGATACTTGCATATATATTAAACCTAATGGAACCTAATCTCTTTATCACTTCCCACCTACCACTGGATGGTTTCATTGAATGCGTTGACAATTTCACGTCAGATCGGACTACCTCTGGATCATTGGATCACCAGTTGAATCTTCAGATTCTTAAATTAATTGCAAAATGGATAATTAATTTTAAAAATTATACAATCTTTCTCATAATTATACATTAAATAACAAAAATAAATAATTAACCATAATATTTTGCTTCAAAATTTTAATAGAACTTTATTTCGTCACTAATATTTACAATATAAATATATACATAACTTGTATTCGTATTCGCAAAATCTAAAATGTTCAAATAGAATTGTTCGGATGAACCTGGTCGATCAGATCCGAGCTCAGGGAAATATTGACTATTAACATATTTAGAATATTTGTAATCAGTGAAAGATCAACAAGCCTATGTCCCCACAATACAATTTGTATTGGAGACAAATATAGGGTGCTTGTAATTTTGGAAGAAATATGATATACTAGGCTTAGACCAGGTGAATATATGTGATCAAGCCATACAATACTTAAAAAAGAAAATAATAATAATAATAATAAAAATAAAAAGACAGCAGCACAGTATATCATGTACTACCAATGGGAGAGCTGAATGAATGCTAAAAACCATATCTCCTTGTACAGGTCAATCATAACACCCACAAAACTAAGGTATACAGGTACCACTTAAAAGTATTTAGAATGCTGCTAAAAAAAAAAAAAAATCTGAAATGAAAGTTTTTGTTACCTACGGAAAATTCCTGCAGGCTACACCAGTTGACCATGACCCATGACCATCGATAATGCATTATTTCACCAATTTGTTCAAGTACCTGCAGCAAAATGCAAAGGTTCGCATGGATAACTATTTAAATCATAATGCATAGATGAAAATAGCTTTGAACTAATATAATGTCTTTTATTTCAAGGAGAACAAAATATTGTCATTATACCAGTAGAAATTCAAAGGAACTCAAGGGTCTAATGTAGTCGCGTGTTTGATGCCATTTGCATCAAGCACCGTTTCTAACATAAACTTAAACTTACAAGACAAGAACATTAAGTTGATCCAGTTGGAATATGCTTGGTGAGTTGTTAACCACTTAATACGAGCATTAGCATGTGTGACACTCATTTTCTTGATGTGCACTATCATAGTGGAGCTGAACAGATCCGGAAGGCGAAAATACTGACTTTTTTTTTTTAATTTTTTATCGTAGCATTCACTTCATATGCTGTGCAAGTGATACGCAACTTTGGATTATGTGCACTATTCTTTTCACCCCACATAATGTGTGAGGCTCGGTCATGATGAAATGTTCTCCAGATTCAGGCAAATCAAGAAAGAGTTTGATAATATTTTATCTGGGTACACATTAAGGGGATCATGTAAGTCAGTATTGATCTAAAGAGTATGTATATCCTTTTTTTGCAATTCCAAAAAACTATGTCGGTAGATAGAAAACTTGCAGCAAATATAACAAAGAATGAAACAAAACATCAAAGCAAACATGGGATATTTTTCGATAAAGCTGCAGGTTTCACGAGCCATAGAATGCGCGTATAGGCGCAACTTTATTTTTGACTTCAGACATCAATGTAGAGTTCAAAGCATAACATATCCTTTTTTTAATTTTTTTTTATTAAAAAAAAAAACCCAAGAGTCCTATAGGGGAGTTAATTTCTGTGCCTTTTATGCTTAATTATTTACTTTCCTCAATTGAGCTCCTGATTTGGTATGGATACACTAAAAATATCAAAGCTAAGTTATGATGACCGGTTTTATTCAAACCATCTGGTTCGACTGGTTAGACCAGGAACTAGTCACCTCACTCATCCAATAATCATCCAAAAAAAGGCAATTAGACCGGCCAATATTCTTTTTTTAATCATATTTTTAATTCTATGATGTAATTTAATGTACTTTTTAGCGTAACTAATATTACATATTCAAATATTTTGGGCATCGCATGTATATATTATTTTATCAATTAATTTAGCCATTTATGTTATTGTGTTAGTACTCCCATCTCAATTTAGCCCATTTTCTCTCCTTTTATTTGTCCCAAAATAATAGTCCCTATGGACACATTAAATTCATTTTTTTCTAGTTATACGGGTATGATGAGAAGGTTGAGTGTCTGATTTTACGATGCAAGGTAAGTACACATTCTTAATATGTGGGAAAAGGAGAAAGGCGTCTAACATCATCAAGATATTTAGTTTCTTATGTTTTTCATATTACTCGATTATTAAAAACATTATACAATATTTAAAAATATTAATTAATTAACTCCAGTTTGACCACATCGAACCATTGAACCATTGAATTGGTTTGATGGCTGTTCCGGTTTCGGAACCTTGGCCAATCCAGCTAAAGAGTTAAGGACGGTGCACGAAGAAGATTCATGACATCAGTGTATGAATAACATCAATCAAATTGTATAATACAGAATACTCTATTCTATGTCCCTAACAAACTAACTACCGATGAAATCACAGCCGCATACTAGCTGAACTATCATAATTCTAAAATGAAAAAAATGGTATTGTTTTAACCAATCATAACTACCAGATATCTCTAGCTCACAGGCCACGGCTTGCTTATATTATAAAATAAGTAAAAACATAGAATCATTTAAATTGGTTTTATATTTATGGAATATCAATATCCAAAAAGCTCGAGCATTGGCCTTTTGAATCTTATGAAGCTCTTCTAACACTAATATTGCCAGTCTATTTAATACCTATAACAGTCCAGGTAATTCCAACTCATTCAATTAAATTTCGAAAAAGCAAACTAATTTTATAATCACTCTACTCTTCTATTCATCAAATTATTTCAATGTGATCAGTCAAATCAATCAAATAAGTTTCCATCAAAGAGTGTCTACCAAGCCCTGGAACTTTCCTAAATTCAATAGCATTAGACTCACAAAGAAACTACTAGCGATCCTGACAAGAACGGCAGAAGGTACCATGGGACAGCTCACAAAAAGCCCGAACGTTGACCGCCAAGTGTGATGTCAGCCTTGCACCCGTCACCATACTATGCAGCGGCATTAGTGATTGAGTGCACCCAAGCTCACCTAATGTCCTGCACGCACATTGAGCAAACACAATGAGTCGAGCCAAGCCACTCGATAATTTTCATAATTTTTACTATTCTCTTTCAGCTTAAGCACAAAACATTTCTCAGACATTGTAATTTGTAAATTAGCAATTTATTTATTTTTATTTTTTTTATTTTATTTTATGCAACACTCGTTGGTATTCACCAAACCATAACGAATCAGGCTAAAGTCGATTAAACAACACTATTTTTAGCTCAAGAAAAACGCAATTGAACCAGTATTGACAAACCAAAGTTCTAAAAGGATCAAAAGAAAGCAACACTGTCCCTTAGGTAGAAAAAATGCACAGAAAAGAATCGTGGGGAACAACAACAAATGAAATCAGTTTTCATTTCTTAGATTTCGATATAACAGTTAATCGATACAAGTTCCGAGCAAAGAAGTAACAACATTGAAGGGAAATATTGCGATTCGGAATTTTGGACCTCGGATTGGAGAACGAGAAACGGCGCGAATTGGGGCGAGAGGAAGGAGGCCGCAGGCGGCGGGGGGCGGAGAGAGGCGTCGAGGAGCGGAATGCGGAAGCCCTAGCGGTGGACATGAGCGATCGGGAAATCGAGCCACGCCAAGCCATTTGTCGCTGTTGTTGCCTGAGTTGTTCGTGTGGAAACTGGAAGAAATGTGAGGTGAGGGTTTATGAGTTTATCACATCAGACAAGGGTTTTAGAGGAATAATTCGGTGCGACGCACGCACTTGACTTGATGAGTCTTGCGAAAGAGAGACAATCAGGGTCAACCGTTTGACTTTTTTTTTTTAATCTTTTATTATATTTGTTGTCATTTTGGTTTTGGATAATTGAAGCT